GAAAGTTGTATTCATAAATCAAAGATGTGATTTGTTTTGTTTTTTTTAATAAGAAAATTCTGCATTTGTTGGTACTTGTCATCAAAGAGTATCTACATAATTCATTCAGGAAGTCGATATTTCATATGATATTCAAAATGGTATCACTCTCTTCTGTAATCAGTAGCTTTACTAAGAGACTGCTTAGTTATTCATTGACTAACTGTTGGAGTGACATATACACTCGTTACAATTACCAGAATGCATGATCAGCAGCTCGCATTGGAGAACTGATTGATACTTTTTTGTGATTATATTATTCGTTTCTTTTCTAACAGTCTTGGAATTCTAGAAGATATTGTATTTCCGTTCAGTGTTATTTAGAACCGATGTCAGCTCATGATGAAATCCTATTATAACCAATCAATCAAATCCATACAAACCAATACTTGGGTATCAATCAAATACTCACTAGCGACTGGCCCTATTCAGGTAAGTGGTTACCTGAGGTTCTAGTGGAAAGTCGTGACCAGTATGGTACAGCGGGTCGAATGTGAGGACTGATACTCGCTGAAGACATTGGCTAGTGGTCAGAAAAAGTTGGGGTTCATGGGCTAGCCATTGGTTCATACCTCAGTGGCTTAATGGCCAACGAGTTAGCTCGCCTTGTAACTGGAAGGTCCTGCTTTCGTCCCCGTAATAGTGAGTGCGTACCTCTGAAGAGTCCTGAAGACGGACGACTAATTAGCTGTCCAGTACTCCCTGACTGGTTTTCCAATGGTTCTCTAACCGATGTCAGCTGATGATGAAATCATGTAACCAACAGAGTATATCTAGTATATAGCTATATACAAAAATGTACAGATCCACGTAATTATCAGGTTTGAAGAATGTCAAAAAAGTAGATGGCATAAGAGCGTGGTAAAGTGAATCTGTGTGGATAGAGAAAATTGGTGTGAATAATTATTTACAGATGAGTCGGGTACATAGGGATTTGGGTAAATTATTCTTTGTCTTGTAGATAACTTTAAAAGCGGATGCTATAGAGATAGGGTGATCATTATCGACCAGATGTTCATTGATCGCGCTTCTTATTGTTCCACTTCCACCTCTTCGTAATCATGCAGGATAGTGTCTTGCAACATCTTGGACAAGATTCGAATCGAACGATCGATACACCTAGCTCCACCTGAGCAGGGGACTTAGCTTCCGATATCATGAAACGAAGGATATTAGAGTCCCTGGAAAGAACTTTCCCTGCTGCATCTCTGAGAATAGCCTTCACTAGTTGACCATTACTGTTCAATAACAGGACAAGATCCCGTTGTTGACCAACTTCATGTGTGTTTATGAATTCACCCGCTCGTATGGAGCTAGGTATATAGGTCGTTCGACTCGAGTTTTGTCCAAGAACATTGTCATTGCAAGAACACTATCCTGCATGGTTACGAAGAGGTGGAAGTGGAGCAATAATTATTTAACCACTGAATCATCTAGATATCGTTGATGACATCTCAGGTTGTCTTATATTTCTGTTACGAATAATTTTGCACACACACACACACATGTGTTGATGGTAAGAACTAGTAAGGCAGAGAAATGGTATATGATCTCTGAAAAAGAACACTATGAAATCTAGAAACAAAAATATACATATATTTCATAAAATCACTGACTAAGAAAAAGAAATAATTATACATTATAATTATAATATACATTACAATTTGTATATTATTTACAATTATTCAAGTAGAGAATATTATGCATTTGTCCATGTGAATAAAAGAGATTTTTCAAAATGAAGGGGAACAGTAACGAAAGTTAATTACATGTGAATAACTGTAACCATACAACAACACACTGTAAACTGGTTAGTTAACACGATATAAACTGTAAAATAAGAAAATGCAAAGTACTATTAGTTATCATTAAGTGCTTTGAAATGGTGAATGAATCTATGCCAAGTAAATTCATTTTTTCTTCTTGATGAATTTAACTCTGAGAAATTTGCGTAGAACTAAAGTCAACAATTCTTGTGAAGCGTTAATTCAATGTTTGGTTGATTGCCATAGTATCAAACAAATCATCACAATTATGCCTAAATGTCTCCCCCTTTTATTCACTCACACATTGGCAGTGTACATAACCACCAAAAACATATGCGCGAAATTTAGTTCAAGCTTTTATGATCACAATGACTGAAATTAAAATAAAAAAGAGTATATTTGTAAATCACAATGAGAATATTTCAAGTATTGGCTTTATATTATTATTAGTAGAGAACTCATCATCAGTACGCACCTAGGAGCTTCCGGTTACAAGGCAATCTCGTAGACCATTCAGACGCGAGGACCCGATCCAGTGGCCTGTGAATTTCAGCTTCAATCAGCTCGTGATTTTATAGAGCGACCACCACCAGCCAATGTCATCGGTGAAATCTACTGGTGATAACTTCTCACTACGACTGCGGGTAACTTCGTCCTCATGGCAGGGGGCGGGGTTTGAACCCAGGTGGGTGCTTACTACTTCCACGTTTTCAATGACTGTCTCTTACTGAAATCAATCTATGAGCAAACTTTAAACTTCATTAGAATTATAAACCCCATATAATGTAAAGAATATTGTTCTGTCTTTTTGTTCATTGGAAAATACAAGGGTAAAACAACCATTATCATTTACTGTTTGATTTGGTCTTGGTGTGGTTATCTACAAATCTGTAAACTTATTCGATAAATAAGCTTGCAGTGTAATCAAAGGCTGCTACAAAACTATTTTATAAATCCGAATCCATATTTTATTTTATCTTACAAAGATTTAATCAAAGCAAATATCGTTGTTGAAAGGTTTATTGGTTCATAGATTTAGAAATGATTAAGATACTATTCTTCTGGAATATCTGCATAAATGTTTCTGAAATCCTTACTGAGGATATGAAACCGAGATGCTGACGAAAAGAATGTGTAGCTATTATTCAAGGCATACTGGACTGATAATACTGCGTTATCATTGTTGCCCACCAATCCTCCAGTTATAACCAACAGTATTTGAATTAGTTGCAGGATTTCATCATGAGCTAACATCAGTTAGAGAACAATTGGAAAACAAGTTGGGAGTACTGGACAGCTGTTTTGTCATCCTAGTTTAGGACTCTTCATAAGTACGCAACCACCCACCACAGGGGTTCGAACCCAGGACCTTCTGGTTACAAGGCGAGCTCATAGACCATTTAGTCACTGGGATTCGATCCAATGGCCCATGAAAATCGCTGAAAATTCCCAAACTAGGACGAAAGAGCTGTCCAGTACTCCTTGACTGGTTTTCCAATGGTTCTTTAATCAATGTCAGCTCATAATGAAATCTTGTAAGCAATCAGACAAATCCCTACAAACCAATACTTGAGTATTTGAATTACTTTGAAATAAAAGGTTTTGGCGAGGTTTGATGGGAAATAAACATATGAATGTATGATAACAGCTTGATTCCACACCGTATTTTTGGTACAAGTATGGAATTTTCAGCATGGATATCGGTAGCCCGAAATTTTGCAGGCTAACCATAGATATCAGGTGTGCGTCGGCAGAAGATCGAACCCCGGATCATGTGCATGGTCGGTGAGAGTTCTAGCCACTGTGCCATTGACGCACACTGAAGTTAATACTTCCCAACATTTGACATCTTATTATCTGTATTTGGTTCATTTTTGATTTTCCCATTAATTGGACCAAGATGTTCGGTCTCTATTGACATATCGACTCTTAGTATGAAAGCTTCGACTAAAAATTAACTTGAAGTAGTCTGGTGGAATAGAAGATGAACACTTCTTCTTAACTAGGACTTGTCATCCGGATGTGCCTGCATGGCTCTGTGAGTGATGGTGTTCCAGCTGAGACTGGAACGCAGGCTGAACATCTTGACCCAATTAGTCAATAAAAAACAAATCAAAATTGATCACAGAATTTCATCATGAACTGATATTGGTTAGAGGATCAATGGAAAATCAGTCAGAGAGTACTGGACAACTGTTTCGTCAGACTACTTTGGGACTCCTCGTCAGTACGCACCCAGCCCCAGGGGTCAAACACAGGACCTTCTAGTTAAAAGACTAGAGAGCCCGTAGACCATTGGGACCCAATCCAGTAACCAGCCCATGAATTCCAACTTCTGCTAATTCATGACACAGAGTGACTAGTTTGCGATATCGTCTTCGATGAGTAAATTTCCTCACCTTCGACTTGTTGCACATACTTTTCACGACTTCCCAATGAAACCCAGATTTGGAAGAAGTTAGAATTCATGGGCTAGTCACTGGATCGGGTCCCAGAGGCTTAATGGTCTACGAGCTCGCTAGCCTTGTAACCAGGAGGTCCTGGGTTCAATTCGTGTCGGTGGGTGCGTAGTGATGGAGAGTGCGAAACTAGGCTGACGAAACAGCTAGCTGTCCAGTACTCCCTGGTGGTTTTTCAATGGTTCTCTAAATGATGTCAGCTCATGATGAGATCCGCGAACAAATCAAACAAAATCCCTTCAAAACTAATCCTCTACTATTTGTCTTTGTTTCTGCCAAGTCTCTAATTTTAAAGCGTCTTTTTGTAGTTGTGTAATAATACTGATAACGTGTTTTTCTACGACTGAGATTTTATTTGAGTGATTGAAGGTCATTCTGATCTTGAACTGTCTGTGAGAGGTGTTTGAATCAGCGTGATTCTTGTAGACAGAGTATTGATCCCACCTTGTTTGGAATATTCTTCTTGATTCTTAGATACTTCTGAGGGTTGATTTTTGGTTAATTAATTTTGCTGTATATTACTTGTTTTGTAATTGTAGGCCACTGGGACCCGATCCAAAGACTAGCCCATGAATTCCAACTTCTGTAAATTCAACATATGGCGCGATCGCCAGCGAATGTCATAGCTAGCGAGTGTTTGTCTTCACACCCGACCTACTACATTCTAAGGTTTCGAACCCCGGTGGGTGCGTACAGATGAACAATCCCAAACTGGGGCAAAATAGATGTCCAGTACTCCAAGCTAGTTTTCCAATGGTTCTCTAACCGACGTCACTCATGATGAAATCTAGTAACCAGTCAATCAAATCCCTACAAACTAATATTTGAAATTCAAAAGTGAATTCAAAATAAATAATAACTGGCTCTCTTGATCCAGGTCTTGTGGATAACGCTTTGGAGTTTGAAACGATGGATACTGAGGTCGGGTCTCTGTGGGAACATCACCAACCACAGGGAAGTACAGACACATCCAATTAACAAGTTTCAAATAGAAAATATAATGCACTTCCTGGATCCCACTGCCAGTTACCATCTATCAAACTATTTAGTGTTTTAATTAGGCATCTATGGTAATAATCTAAATCAAATCATCTATTTTGTAAAGTTTTCCACAGTATGAATACATAAAAATTTCGCTCAGTTAGTATAATTAAATATCACAACCGAAATTATAAAAATGTTTAGCTTACTTGTTGAGATTTTAGCAGATACAACAAGGTTGGATCTAAAATAAGTATATACACATTCTGAACTATATATCTGTATTAATTTTTAGGACGAAAATTGTTTTCTCCTTCAACCAAAATACACCCAGCTGCTGGTGGCTGATGATTCGAATCATAATTCATTTGAAGATCATTGAATTGATTCCGAAATATTTCAGAGTAATAAATTCGCATACAATCTTCTACTGTGCCTAGATCTTGGCTCTGTTGAATATGAGGAAGTTTTAATGTCTTTTGACTCTCTGCTTGGAATTCATTGGCTCCATGCTGTCTTATTTTAGCCTCCAGTTCTTCAAAATTAAAGGAATCACGTATTTCCGTGAAATCATAATGTCCATTAATTTGTTTTGTTAAAAACTTGGTTAACAAGTCTATATTTAGTTTGTATGCTCGAATCTGATCTAAAATATGAGGTGAGCACTCGTGTTTCTTCTCATTAAACCCATAGAAAAGGCTTTCGAAATAATCCGAAATCGACTTCAACTTGGACATTTTACAGATGTCATCATGTTGGTCATCAGAACGGGTGTTATTAGAACAAATCGAGGTTTTTTGTTTATTTGAAATGTCAGACTGATGATGGCTACTCTCCTTGTTTAGCGTAGCTATCGATTTTGTTGTCTCACGTGAATTTGTACTCAATAAAGATGAAATCGTAAACTTGTTTAAATCTGAATTTACGCTTGTCTGTGAATCTGAGCTCTTTTTACACGAATTTATGGTCTCCTTTCCTTCTGAATTAACTTTGGAATCTGTGCATGGATTTAAATACGAGGCTTGTTGAAGAATAGAATAAGAATCACATGGATTTGCATTGAAAAGTTCGGAATTCGGGAACTGCTGACGAAGTGGTGAAGGTTTTTCCATAGATGATAGATTATTCCAAATTGGTTTAAATAAGTCTGGAGAAGTCTTCTCATAAGTTGTTGGTTGGTTTGAAGTTTTTGCTGCATTCATTAGAGTTGTAAACCATGAAGCCAGCATCAGCGTTTGTGATTCTGTAGTACCAGTGATCTGTTGACATAAAAGAAAAGATAAACAGGGACATATCTGAAGAGTTTCCTCTGATAGTATTTCGCATTATCATTCATATGCCTGGAACGACTATTATAGTCGTAATAGAAAATTACATATATATGTGACACAGGCTGATATATTAGCCGTCACACATTTATTAGGCTTATCAGGATTTCACTGACACTTAAGTAAATTTCATGAAGAACTAATCAATATCTTTGACAATTAAGTTCTGTCTAAGCAAGAGACTTCTCTCATGAATGCTTCAGAGATGACAGTTGTTCAGGAGTAATACAGCCTTGGAGTCAAAAAGCTGATCAGTATATCACAGCAGCAATATATATATATATTACAGATTGACAGTGGTTATATATCATGAGCCGCTGAATTGAAACTTAGCTGTTGAACAGTAACCAACTAGTCTTATAACCCGACTTCTTGTGTTCAGTGCCTTTTAAGTTCATGAATACGCACCACTGGAAATTAATCCGGTTTATTCATCCAATTTCAATGAGCAAAAATCAGTAAATTTCACAGTCTATGTGTAATCCTACACATTTATTTACTTTAGTGATGAAAATTGTCTTTGAAGAGTAATTTTGTTCTGCTTCAGAAACGAAATATTCAAGCTGGGTAGTCTTATTTTATCAAAATCACTAATGGTACGCAGAAATCAAAATATGAGGTTATATATATATAATTTCCTTTAATTCCTAGAGGAACATAAGTCTTCAGCCATTTCCACCCTCGCACTGACGACCAACTCGCCACTTCCCTTTCAGGTTCCACTCGAGCGATGGCCTGGCGTGTGATGTCACTTGATGGTTTGTTTTCTCAGCGTATGGCCAATCCACCTCCATTTCTTCCAACATATTTGCTGCACAATCGGTTCCTGATGGGTTGGTTCGTTCATTGCCAGAGATCCCTCCTTGCTTCTGATCTCTTCTGGCCGGCCATCTGATCTTGAGTAGTATTGAGCGAAGACAGCTGTTAGTGAAGGTCTGTAGTTTGTTTGAGGTGTTGTTTATGACGCACAGGCCAAGTCTCTGACTCGTATAGTAAGTAGCACTGACTTCACAATGAAGTTGAAAATCCGGATCTTATTTTTCATTCTGAGTGCTGTTGGCCTCCTCCATGTAGACTTGAGAGAAATGAAAGCTTGTCTTGCTTTCCCGATCCTTGCTTTGATATCCTCGTCAGTTCCGTCCACCTGTATTTGAAACTATGCTTCCCAGATCGGTGGGTAGGTAAAAGAGGTTGTTTCTTTCAGATTTCTCCCATTTATTCTGATTGTTGTCTGTTGTTGTTGCAGTTGGTGTTAGCCAGGAATCTCCATCACTTCTGTTTTCTCTATGTTCACCTGGAGTTTTATCTTTGATGCTTCTCCTTCTGTCGCCAACTTGTTGCTTTTCACTTGCATATCTTCCAGTTTGTGGAAAAGCAGACTTATCATATCATCGGCGAAGTCCATATCCTAGAAGTTTTTTGTGTGAGTCCATTTTATGGCTGTTTCCTCAATGCCCGCTGTCCGTCTGTCTGTCTGTCGCATTACCCAGTCCACCGAAATCAGGAAAATAATTGGCGATAATAGGTAGCCTTACCTTACTCCCGTCCTCACTTCGAAGGATTCCATAAGTTTTCCGCTGTGGATTACTTGGCATACAGCATTGTCGTACATATATATATATATACATATATATGTATTACATAGTAACAACTACCATGTGAAATCGGAGGTCAGGCAAACCAAGCCAGAGTCTTTAGTTGCCAGAAATTATGTTTTTCATCATAAATTCATCAGTAATGTTAAATCCGTCATACTTTACGGCTTGATTTTATGCATGATTAATTCATTCAGTTTCCTTTTTTTTCCATTTTACTATAAATATTCTACTTGCATTAATCTGGATAGCATCATTTCATCTTCAAGCGGGCTACGTGAATGAGTACATCAAAATCAATATTGGAAAGGCCAACTAGACGTTCATCACTCCTAAATCAGTTTGAGAATTCGATACACTCGGCATAAAGAACAAAATTTGGATTTTCAGTACTGATGTTAAGTCACTTCTTCTTTATATGGGTCAGAAACTCGATTCTAACATCACAAGAGGCATTCTAAACACCTGCCTTCGCTCTATACTGAAAATTAGTTATGGCCGGCTAGAAACTCTGAAAGCGAACCTTCAAAAATATAGATGGTTCATACACAAGCTGAGGAGACCGCTAAGTGGCATTGTATGCCATACAGGCTGTTGAATAGATAAAGGACAAGTTGGAATTTGGTTTGATGGTGACATGGAGAAGGTCCTGTGATGAGATGATGGCTGGCAACCATTCGGTCAGATGAAGAGGACTGCATAAAATAGAGTGAAGTTGAGTTGTGCTATTGAAGCTCTATGCTCTACTCAGAACTCAAGAGAATAATAAATAATAAAAAACAGACACGAAGACCAGTCATAATTTAAGTTCAGTACATATGTTTTTTCATCAAAGAATCCTAAATTCTATGTAGAGATGAAAGGCGGGATATTTAAATGAAAAATATAAAACATTTGTCAGGCAAATTGATTACGCTATACTCCTTCAGATCAGATGAGCTGGTAACCCACTTAGGTTGTACCAGGAGAATACTGATTGTAAAAATCGAGAAATCAAGTTCATCCGTTATTGTTAGTTTAGTAGACAACCCCTGTATTCTGTTGTTTTTATGATTCCCACAACGAATAAATGATTGAGATATTTTTACGGACGGTTTTCAGACTTGATGCACACAGCATAAGTATCATATAAAACAAACCTCTGCATGAATAGTATTCAAGCAAAGATGTTTCGTTGATATCTAAATTTGTATAGCATTAAAATCAATAACCAGTATACCAAAAATATAATAAACATTATGAGAGATTTTAATCTGGACTACTTACATTTGAAAACACAGAAGTCTGTGGAGCAGATGTTTGATTCAGAGAAAAATCCACCCTATTTAATAATGATTCTGAAGGTTTGTTTTGCACAGTCTTTTGAAAGTCATCGATGAAATGGTTTGTTATTGAATTGCATTGAGAATCGGAACACAACAACACACTGTTGTTATGAATGCTTTTACTACTGGAAGAACTGATCTCTTGAGCTGTAGAATTTAAGTTGAAATTTGCTGTAAAATTATTTCGATCAGTATTTCTATTTTTAATATTTTTATTTACATTAGGATTAATCTTCTCAAAGTTGGATATGTCATCTAAATTATGAATGTTTGGGGATAAAAATAATGGTATTGGTGACGATTGTGTAGACAGACCACGCTGTCTGAAATTTGTTGTAGGAAATGATTTTGAAGAATTTTCCAGCTTGGAAATATGAGGTGTGATATAAGAAATAGGAAGATGAGAAGAACACTGAATAGGTGAAATCTTTGATGAAATCGGCGAGGAAATTATAGTACTTGGTACTGATGACTCAGGAGTAAATTGATGCCTATTGACAATTTCTTTTTGATATGAATTCGAATAGATAGAATTGTCTAGGGGATTTTTATAATCCAGAAATTGATTGGTAGGTATATTTTCAGTCAGCTCTAAATGGTCCTGCCATTGTTTTCTCAAGTTTACTGGTATTTTATTCAAAATTTCATCAATCATTTCTTCTATTGGTATTTTTGAAGGTGATCTACCTTTGTTGGTGAAGAAGTTTCTTGTGTATTCAGGTGTTGTATCAGAGATCTGGCTGGATTTACTGCAAAAATCTCTCTTGTGCGGCACATAATGTGAAGGAGTATATTTTGATGGAATGCTGTTAGACCTGCTTAAGTTTGTGACAGATGTCGTTTCAGTCATTTTGTTATTAGACCAACGTGGAGCATAATTCGACAGGTTATTTGAGGCTTCATTAGACCCCTGTATATTTGATGTACTACGTGAACTCTTTTTGGAATTAGATTTACATGTATCACTCGATTTCTGATGGATTTTACCAATTTCATTAGTTAATGAATTTGTATTTGATTCCCCAAGCATATTATTGTTATTATTATGCTGCTTGAATAACTGATCAAATAATTCTTGTCTGTCCGACTCAGGCATTTTCAGTAGTTCAGCATGTCGTCTAACAGTGTGTCGCTTGATTGTATCTAACTTCCTTTGCGTCATAACTTTATGACAAACAAGACACATGACCTGAAAGCAGTCAAAAGTAAATATATATATATATATTTGGTTAAGTTAATTGAGAATATGTTTTATACAAATGGTTGATCTGCTAGGTATAAATAACTTTCCTTTATTCGTTTACGTTCCTAGTGAAACATAGGGCTTCATGTGAGGGGCTTGAAGTTTCGGTATCAGTGGTGTTTATTTTCACGGAATGGGTTTGCTAGCATCATGATCAACCTTCCTTTTTACCAGTCTTATTACTGGCTTAGCGAGGTAGAGGAATGCGTCCATTGGCCGGGGGTTGAACCCCGAACCACCAGCGTGGTTGGCGAGCATTCTACCGCTGTGCCACCGACGCAGTGTATAAATAATTAAAGGAGCGAAATTCGAAAGCTTTTAGATAGATTATTTTCTGTATTAAATTTTAAAGGTTATTTACACAGTTCTTGGTAGATAGAGTGACTGTGAATTTATTTGTTCACGAATCGATGTCAGTTAAAGAACCATTGAAAACCAGGGAGTAATAGATATGACTGTTTCGTCCTAGTTTGGGATTCTTCACCAGCACACAGCCCCTAGGTTCGAAAATACGCCATAGGCTATACTGCTTTAAACTGCTACAAATAATTCTATCGGTTATGTAGGGACAGAACTTGGCAGAGTATAAATGCATCATACGGTGAATTCATTTGACAGAGTATCACAGTGTTACACAGTATTATTTACTGATGACGTTTTCAGAACAATTTATTACTCATAATCATATCAAGGCACTCACATACATATGTCAAGGCGATATGATATGATTATGAGCAGTAAATTGTGCTCGAAATGTTATCAGTAAGTAATAGTGTATAACACTGTGAGCTCTATCAATGCTTTTACTAATTTCATTCTTAAAATGTAATCATAACCATTCATGGGATTAATTAAATACTATTTTGAACAACCTTATAAGAAAATTCTCATTTTATTGCCGGTAAATAGATGACATCTTTGTTCTTTGTGATAATGATTCAGATAGGAACACAATTATAACTCAGTTCAATGAAGTACATTCTGCTATGAAATTCACGTGCCCTTCTAGATATCCTAATTACAGGAGCGATTTGCATATAAAAAGCATATGTACAGGACAATATACACATTTTCATAGCTTCGTTCCTCTCTATTACAAAAGAAATTTAGTGAAGACCCTCATCCAAAGGGTTACAGCTGTATGCTCATAAGAGGTAATCGAAGATGAACTGAGGATTGTATATGACACCTTAATTGAAAAGAGCTTTCCAGTAAAGTTCATCAAGAAACACATCACCAAGAAAGCAGAAAAGCACTATTCTCCAACTGTAAATGAGAAGCCTATATATATACGACTGGAATTCAAGATTGACACACCTGATGTAATAATTGCTAGCAAATTAAGAAAACCTATTCAAAGACCTTTCAATGCTAGCAAACTACAAGTCTTATTTTCTACACCACCGATGGTGATTCCTCGACTGAAGGATGAATTACTTAGACTAGCCACTTCTAATTGTATCCACAAATTCAAATGAACTAATGGTGGGGCCAGTTATATTGGCCTTTCCTCTAGGAACTTGATTTTTCGTGCTCACTCGGGAACATCTATCAGTATGGCTAAGTAAAGATGTAGTGAAAACCATTAACACTTCGATATTGGACCATTTGGTGTAAACCGGCCGGCCACAAAGCCAGCCAGCGTAGAAGAATCCTTCTCTATAATCTACCGGGTGCCTAATAAATTGCCAAAAACATCCAGGTGCCTCATGCTCCAAACATCAGAGGCTATCGCGATTCGCCAGAAACAATGAGTGCTTTGTATGCATAAGAAGGAAGTTCAGCTACTGTCACTCCCTTGGCCGGGATATATATGTATATATATAACTTTAGAACCTGATGGAGGAGAGATTACTGCAAAGAATATTCTTTGTTCAGTAACCATTCTTTTGAAGAATTTTAATGGCCATTTTTAATCGGGTAAGTAAAATAAAAGTACTGACAACATGCAGCATTCAAAAGTTAGATCAGAGGAAAATTTAAATGCTAGAGATAAAATAAGACCATAGCTTTCGAAAGTAAAGCTGAGGTGTGAATTATTGCATTGTCTCCCGTCCCATTCCGTTTCATTTAGAACAAAGGACTTCAAGTTCAGGCTTTGAACTTTCACTAGCAGTGATGTTTTTTTTTTGAGGGGGTGGGGATGCGGTTACTAGCCTCATGTCCAACCTTTCCCCTTTATCGAATTTACTACCGGTAAAACGACGTTTACGAATGAGTAGGTGGCTAGTGAGTATTCCACAACTGAACTATCGGTACATGAATAACTACATATAACTATACGTATTTATGCTACGATTAGATATCTACTCTAGGTAAAAATGAATAAAGTGGTGTCTGACATCTCAGCAAAATAATACTTACTCCTAACAACAATACAACACAAGAAAATATAGAGTGAGTACAATCCATTGTCTTGAATCTGAAGTAGAATCGAGTAAAGTAATGAACTCCTTGTTCATCAAATATTTCTATTTTCTGTCATTGTTGTACTCTGACACCTTTTTCATTTATTTCAAGTGTTCATGAGCATTAGGTAAATATTGTTATTCATAATTTTAAATGTTTGATATAAAACTGTCAGTCATAAAAATGAACACACTAGGGAACAATGATGTACAGTTGTACAATATATAGGCATTATACAGATATGTATGATTAATGTTAAGGCAAAAAATTTTTTAGCAATTCTGTTTATATATCCATGAGCAAAACTTAAAGTACAAAGGAGAATTTTTTGTAGCAATTTAATTTACAAATCGGTCACCTATAGCTCTATCTATTCATTTAGAAAGCCATCTGTTTACAATACAAGCATCACATAAAGTAAGTAACTGAGTCTTAAGTAGCTGTTCGCTTTTACTAATTGAATCTTGTGTACATTTTCTGTTATCGTCTACAATAAAACTGTTTACTTAAAATTCCTTAAAACTTGAGCTACTAAAAACTTCATCTCTCTATTGCTTAGATTTTCTCTCCTTTGGTTTGTTTTAATCGATTAAGTTATGAACTCTAATGGTATTACCTATTCTTGTGGGTGTATTTAAAATGTTTACAAGCTTGTGTTTAGTAAATTCCTACTAAACTTGAGGAGAGGCCTTATTTTGGGTGGTAAAGTGTTTCAATACATGAGATATTTGTTCTTCAATTGTGTCTTTAAGTCTCGAAATATACTTCTGAACATCTTACAATTGGCTTTCAACTAGATCGATATCGCGGATTTCTTGAAGGAAGAAGACAAAACGGATATCTATCATAAGGGAATGGTCTGTGCTTCAGCTCAGAGACCACTGTGTGTGTCTCACAGGATATACTGTCAATGAATTAATATTTCACTTAAGATATTGTAGGAGGGGAAAGTATCAGGCAACAAACTCCTCTAAAAAATTCTGTACATCTTGTCAATGCTGTCCAGAATAAAGATGTTATTGAACAGCAATGTTAGCAACTGTTATATGATTCATGAAAAGATACAAGTTTTATAAGGCAGTCTAACTTATGGGATTCTTGGGCAGCTAACTAGATGATATAAGTAAGAGGTACAATAATAATAATAACAATAATAATTTTTGCTTTATTCCAAAAACAGTACTAATGATACAGCAAGGAATTTTCAGCATTCAGTACAATATTGCATCTAATTTACTCAAAAACGACAAAAAAAAATTAAAAATACACATTACATAATAGTAATAAAACGATTGTTATAGCAGCTACATAGCAAAATACTGTATGCCATACGGAGATGATATGCATAAAGTACAAAATTGTGGTAATAATAGTAATACCAACTAAAATAAAATAGCAGAGTAACAATTAAATGATAGAAAGTGTGACACCATAAAATACAGAAAGATGAACGATGAAAGGGTCGATTAACTGTGCTAATTACATAGTAACTTGTAAGTTTCACGTCTAACAGAGTCTTTGTCACATAAAGTACGGGCTAAATAGGGTATTGTAGTATTGTTGAATGTACATCAAAGCTTAATGTATCAATAAGGTCATTCTTCTTATTCTCATAATAGCTAGATAACAACCATTTCGGAAAGGCACCGAATATATCTCTGAAACGTTACACTGTGAAAATACTTCGAGTTTAGTTGGCAGTACAGTGATGAGAAATTCAAAATTAAATCGGTTCATATTAGGCTCTAAAGGAAAAAAGTTATTTTGAACAACCTTCGACGGTTTAAATAACCTACTTCATCACTGATCCACTAATACAATGACAAGGAAAACAAAACAACTTATAAATGTCTGTTTCGTTAAGTACTTAAATGCCGAGGCTGAATACGGAATTCTTTCGTAACATAAACTAAAGTATATCTAGAATCGAACAGTAACTATGGTCCATTTTGTTTCCTTTTCTGGTTTCCATTAGTTAGCTAATGACAGAATCCACTCTAAAAACAAGTCAAAATCAATATATGTACACTATTTGAAGGTTCTTAACTTTTGGTACTTTTTTTTTGCCTTATAGCAATTGTGAACGATTCCGAAAGAAAAGCAACAATACTGTGTGGTTAGGCATTGACTACGAGCCTACATTTTGTAATTTAATTGTAATTCTGAGTATAGCTTTCATGACATTACATTTTCTCGACATAGCGTGACCATTTCGCAATGTCTTCTTCGATAAGTTACTGCCTCATCTTCAACCAGCTGTACCCTACTGATCACGGCTTCTCACTAGAACCTCAGGTTAACTGACTGAATAGGGCCAGTCGCTAGTGAGCATCAGATTAATTTCCAAGTATTGGTTTCGTAGGGATTTCGTTTGATTGCATGGAGGATTTCATCATGAGCGGATATCAGTTAGAGAAGTTAGAATTCAAGGACCATTAAATCGTGTCCCAGTGGCTCAATGGTCTACGAGCTTGCTAGCCTTGTAACCAGAGGGTCCTGGATTCGATCCGTGTCGGTGTGCGTACTGGTGAAGAGTC